AAGTTCCCCCCCCCCCCCCCCCCCTCCCTTTAGGAACACTTTGAAGAGATGGAGGAGGTGATGGTGGCGTCCACCCTGCGGGGCCCCCGCCAGCAGACGCGCTCCTCGAAGACCAATAACGGGAGAGTCAAGGTCGAACACAACGATGATGATGACGATGATGATGGTGATGGTGGTGGAGACTCGAGCGACAACGACAACGACAACGGGGAGGGTGATGAAGTCGGCGTCGACACTTCCTCTGGAGGTAAGCGTAGGCGGGCACCATGCTTAGGCTAAGGGGACTAAGGGCTAGGTTGGTTTCCAGACATCTTGAACGCGAGTCGTAGATGTGACGAATGATGGTGTCGCATGAGTCATGTCTTGTCGTTCCCCGGTGGTGTGTCCGATGTTCCATGGCACATAACCTTCCTCAAGCATGTATCTGGACGGCAGCATCGTGTTCCTTGACCCCTCTTTTTTTGTGTCGTTGTTTCTTCTCTTAAGCTCATGATGCAGACACACAAGCGGTTTTGTGTGTTCCATCCAGTTGGGGCACATCCAAACCTTGCTCGCTAGATTTCCGAAAATAATCATTATTTTCTTTACAACAGGATGCATTGTTTATTTAGCAAACAGTCGTTTGTGTTGTACGGCCCTTGAAGTTTGTATCGAATTTCCAACAATTTTCCTTTTTCTTTTGATCAAGCATATTCGGTGTGCATCTGCGGGGCGTTTCATGCCGCGGATTAATCAATATTAGGCATCTTCATGTACAGAGAAGACCCTAGTTTTTATTTTGCCGCCCCCAACTGATGATGCATTACCCGTTCGTTACCGCCCTTCTTTTCTATACTCGTCATCGTCGTTTGGGTGGGTGTTTTTTGTGTTTTTGTGTTATGGTGGTGATCGTTTTTCTTTTCCTCTTTTTTTTTTGCGGGAACTACAGGCGGAGACACGGTGAAGGATGCGGGCCTTCTGCTCATGCCGCTCATGAAGAGCATCTACAGCAACGCCGACAAGTGAGTTGAGAAGCTATTTAATACAAAGAAGCTATTAAATACAAAGAAACAAGACAAGTGAGTTGAGAAGCTATTTAGTACAAAGAAGACAACTGAGTTGAGAAGCTACTTAATACAAACAAAGAAGACCCACCGCACGCGCTTGTTGGGGGAAGGGAACGGGCGACGCCATGAGGTTGGCGGCACTCTCCCGATGCTCATGCTCGTAGTTTTTGCGACCAAAACCTTAACCTTAGCCTTCATTGATTTATGAAACAAGTTGGTATGCGGTGGTTTCAGGGGTGCTACTGATCGATGATTGAAGGTGTGTTATGAGTCGCGCTGCCATTTTCCTGTTTCAGGCTGAACAGGGGTCATCTTCTTTGCTGTCCCACACAAAAGGTGAATGCGTGTGTTGTATGTGTGCAAGGCTGAACCAGAGGCATTTGCATCGTTTTCTTTTTTAATGTGTAGAATAAATGTGTGTGTTTGTCTGTTCGCCAGGCTGAACAGGAGTCATCCCCATTGCTCTTCAATATATACCTTGTGTGTTTGTGTGTGTCAGGCTGAACAGGAGGCAGGCGGCGGCGGTGGTGGCCCACCTAGTGCGCTCCGGCAAGACCGGGAGCGGGTTCGCCAAGTGCTTCGTCTCCAAGCTCAAGGATCACAGCCCCGTAAAGTGAGCTAGCTGTGCTGCTGCTGTAGACATTTCTGCTCAAACGTATACGTTTCTTCGAATTCAATAGCCTCGTCATGTGAGACCAATGTATCGTCGTTTCTCTTTGCTCTGCTGTAGAGGTTTATGCGGAACGGTATGTACCGTGGGTATTCGAATGAAGTGCTTTCTTGTGGAGCGCTCGAACTCATGTGATACTTCTTTTTTCCCCCCCGATTTTTGTGGAGAGATTTCAGCGCAATCGTAGGTGTAGGTGTTGGAGTTCGTTTATTCTGGAGCAGTCGTTACGACGTTTCCGGGGTGTTGCTTGTGGTACACCGGGTACGTGAATATGTGGTAAATTTAGGAGAAGAAACTTTACGTGTGAGTCGTCCTCGGGTTCGTGTTGATGATAATTGCTAATGGTTGTTGATGATTCGAGGAACGTTCCGAAGAACGGAGAAGATCGCGGCATGTCTCGTCGCAACCGCCGTATGTATGCCATGTGTCGATGACTATTGAATGATCCGTGTCGCCAGCCTCGCCACGGTGCTGTCAATCTTTGCCCCTCGAGTCCCTTGGTTCCATGCGTCGACGACTTGTGTGTTGATAATGAACGGTTCGGACTTGCTGAAACGGTAGCTGTAGCTCGGTATTGCCGGCGTGCTTGGTATTGATGTGGACTTTTTTCTTGTACAGGTGCCTCGAGGTGCACATGGCGACGCTCAGGGTGTTTTACGACAAGTGGGTGGTGGCGGCAGCGGCGGACGGCAACGTCGAGGAGGATGACGCGGACCTCAGCGACGACGAGAAAACGTGGGTCATGTCACTGTGGTTGCTGCTGATGTTGCTGCTGCTGCTGCTGATGTTGTTGTTGTTGTTGTTATTTGCGTGTCGTTCTTGTTGCTGTCGTTGCTGCTGCTGCTGCTGCTGCTGCTGTATTTCTCGTCGTTTAACGCTTCTTCGTTGGTGATGGTTTCGCTCGTGCTCATGCGGGTGGCCCTTCTGCTCCTGTTGTCATTCGTCGTCACCACCGACCACCACAATCATTCGTCATCACCACCGACCACCACAATCATTCGTCATCACCACCGACTACCACAATCATTCGTCATCACCACCGACCACCACAATCATTCGTCATCACCACCGACCACCACAATCATTCGTCATCACCACCGACTACCACAATCATTCGTCATCACCACCGACCACCACAATCATTCGTCATCACCACCGACCACCACAATCATTCGTCATCACCACCGACCACCACAATCATTCGTCATCACCACCGACTACCACAATCATTCGTCATCACCACCGACCACCACAATCATTCGTCATCACCACCGACCACCACAATCATTCGTCATCACCACCGACCACCACAATCATTCCAATCATTCCAATCATTCCTTGGCTTTTCTGCACGTCTACCTCCCCGGTTCACTTGGCAGGCGCAAGCAGTGGGACCAAGACCTGGCAGGGATGGAACGCTGGCTCCCCCTGGCTCGACGCCTTTCCATGTCGCTAGGAGTCGGCCCGTTGAAGAGCAAGGACCTCGCCGAACAGAAGACTCTGCAAGACCTCTTCCTCGGATTCATGAAGGTATGAAGGTGGGGACAGGACAGGGGGGGGGGAGGGGGGGGGGGCGTCGATACGGAGTCTAAGTTTGAGAGGGAGGTTGATGGTTGATCTACGGCGGGGTGGCAGCCAGTCGTTGGTCTTGGTTTGGTGTTGGTTCGCACTTGCCTGCCTGTACACTTATGCGTTATTTTTTTTCCAACCCGCTTTTCATGTTTGCCCAAACTGCTATGACATGCACAGGTCGGGCGTCACCCCTATCTTGGGGTTCGACAGCAGTAGACTATGCTGGGGTTTTTCGTATTGCCATGAAGTTCTGCCGCATCGAAGCAGTGTTGATGGCGGCTCCACCAAAGCAACCGACGAAGACGGTCCAGACCAACATCCGATACTTGTACAACGGTAAAGTCCCGCTTCCGCACTCCCTGGCTGCAGGTCGGGGTGCGTTTCGCCCTGGATGCCGAGGGAGACAGGCTGCTGTTCCTGGAGGGCATGCGGGAGTACTCGAGCAAGGTCACTGCCCGACAGAAGAAAGCCCTCGCCAAGGCCTTCGACGATGAGGTATTGTATGCATAGAATCGATTTTGTCCTTTTCTTTGTCTCCCCCCCCCCCCCTTATTTCTCTCCCCCGCAAACCCACCCATCTGTCGCTCGCTCTCTGGCTGTGTATTTTCTGTCCCTCCCCCTTTCAGTCTTTTTCGAATCTTCGTTCTCTGCAAAATTTGTTTTCCTGTGTGGTTTTCTCAATTTTTGGTGTTGTGCTGGGGTGCGCTCCCAAGATGGCGACCGCACGATGAAAAAAACATGAGTTAGCTAGCTACAAGAGCTCCAGTTGACAACCACCACTATTTGGGGCCAAGCTCACAAACGCTACTTCGAAATACTTGTTGTCTGTCGCCTCTGCTGTGTCTGTTGTACGGTAATGTCGTTGCTGCTATTTCCCTCTGTGTGCTGCTACCACGGCTATTGCTATTGCTACTGCTGGGGTTGCGGCTGTGGTGATGCAGGCGAAGGGGCTGCACGACCAAGTTCTGGAGGAGGGGAGGGAGAACGCGACCTCCTGGGACTCGGGCGAAGGCCAGGTATCTATGCATGCAAAGAGTCGAAGAGTCGAAAGAGTCGAAGAGTGTGCGTGACGTACGTGAGATTATGCCGTCCGTCCTTCTCATCGAAACGTCTTCCTCTCCCCCTGTCTCTCGGTGATGTCGGCGGTTACTCTCTTTTCGTCGGTGTGTAAATACCGTAGGTTGCATAAGATATCAGTCACACCCCCTGGACCGATTTTCAAAGACCGTTTGCGGTGCCGACAATTGCAGCCGTGGAACCGTTTCGTCGAGAACATCCGAAAACGCAGCATTTGATGTCGGCATCCTCTTCGTCGCGGAGACGCCGAGCTTTGAAAATCGATCCAGGAGGCGCGGTATTTTATGCAACCTACCGTAGGCAAGTACAGCAGTAGCGTTCGATTTTGGCTTGACTCACGAGTCCAGGAACAACGCCAAGCAGTGGGCGGGTGGAACGTGTAGACGTGTGATTGATCTAGTTTTACTGGCGGACGTTTATGGGCGGGCTGCGGTACACTCAAGTGTTGCTGAGCTTGCGGCAATCAAGAGATTGTGTTTTTTATTTTTTTGTGTTGTTGTCGGCTTTCGGCTCTTGCTGTTGCCGTCCGTTGCTACCTCTCTCTCTCTCTCTCTGCAGGAGGACGTCGCGCCGCGGTGGCGTGCTTTCTTCTCCTTCCGTAGCACCCTGACGGCGGGATCGGCAGCCTCGTTCATCCCCGAAGGTCGCGGTAAGAAGGAGATTTTAATCCGCATACACAGACCGTCGCTGTTGAGATCTTTCGAAGTATTACTGAAGGATCCGGTAACAATCGTACCGAGGTATCGGTCCTTTGGTAATGAATGGTGGTCTATTTTGAGGATTGTTGTTAAGGAGAACGACGAGGATGAAACCGCATTGACCACCGTGGCTACGAAGGTCTTTTCGAAAAAAGACCCGATTAAATTACCAAGGAATCGGTCGCGTGGAAATTGCGGTTTATTTTTGAGAATTTCTGTTGGAAACCGTGGTCTCATTTTCAAGAATTATTGTGGTTAAAAAACGCCCGACTAATCCGTCATTTGGTTTTTGGCGTCGTCGGTACACGTTGACGTGTCCGTGGGTTAGTGTCTAAGTTGATTTGATGTTGATCGACTTTGGTCGGCCAGGAAGGGAGGCAAGCAAGAACAGGTAAAGGAGCAAGGATCAAGCGAGTCTAGCGTGGCATGGCGTGCATCATCAGCAGCACTTCGTGTTAAAACGTGTTTAACCTGAACGTGCGGTCGGCATCGACACGACAAGATGGAGCTCTACGTATTTATTCGAAGAGTATCAGTGTTCGTGTCACGGTTGTCTCTTTTTTTTTTAAACACACTTGTTTTTTTTTAGTGAAAAGTGTTGCTGTGGCTGCAAGGTGATGTGGTAGTAATCTCGCAGCATCGGCTTTATTTTCTGCTGTCTCGAGATATGGAGGCGTTGTGGCTTCGGTTTCAGACGTACAAATGAGTCGAGCGCCCCCCCCCCCCCCCCCCCCCCGCCCTTTTCATGGCACAAGTCAGAGGCCAGGCATCACTGCTCGATTGTCCGCTGATATCTTCCGTGTGGGTGGTTTTGTGTGTGCTTGCGTCTGGCTCCCTTTGTCCTCCGGTTCGTTCTCACAATTCCGCAGACCTCCATCTTCTTGTCAACAAGCGTGTACCATCATACACATGCGATTGCGCTTTTTTTTTCATGTGCTCACTTTTTAGCATAATTTACCCCCCAGCTTCCTCTGATCGAGCGCGTGCCATCATCTTCGCTTCTGTTTTTTTTTTCGTGTGTTTATCAATCAGGCTACGCCTCATCCGGGGATGCTTCGTCCGTGTCCCCGTCTCACTCTGCCTCGGGGAGCTCCATGGGAACTCCTGCTTCGAGGGGAACGAAGTGAGAAAGGACCTAGTCAACTACTTGCGGCGTTGCATATTGCTGCGGGTCACGAGATCCACAACGTACGGACGGTGGTGTGAAAAATCTCGCGCAAAAGAGTAGTCTACCCGTCGTGTTTTTTCGCTTCGTAATATCCCGAACAGATGTTAATTAACCCGAAGAGGTATTTAGCCCCGAACAAGTGTGCTAACCCGACATGTATTACCCTGAACAGTTAAATTATATCCCGAGTACGTGCTAACCCGAACAAACCCGAAGCATGTATTAGCATCCGTAGAACAATGTTAACCCGATATGTATTATCCCGAACAGCAGTATCTAAAACCTGAAGAGGTTGTTGGCCGATCCGCACTATGTACACATCTTGTATGCATACCACGGTGTCGTTCGCACCGGTTGTTCTTTCTGCTTTTCTTTCGTTCTTGCCTACCGCTGTGTCTTGTAGACTAAACCGAACAGGCTGTCCGCATCCCTTGTCCCTAACTAATAAAGCTTGTTTTATTCACACGATTTTTGTTCTTCTCCTCTCGTGTTCTTACCCATTCGCACCTGCTCTTGTGGACCTTTACTATGTTTTTCTGTTCTCTTTCTTTTGTTTGGGCCCAGGAGGACAGCATGATGGCTTGTCGTGGGCCGTAGATAGCGTGCCGTCCCGTCCGATAATTTATTTGCATCATAGATCGCCGCACGCAATTGCGAGCTGCCGTGGTTTACGTACACAAACACCCACTGGTGGCATTAAACATGACGCATCCATGCTGCAGGAAGGATATTTTCCAGCATGTTACCTTCCAGGCAGGCAAGAGAAGCAGCAACAGTACAGCAGGGGCACACGTACAAGACATAGTCGCACTTGATTACCTCCCTTCACGACTGTGACGAGAGAGAGAGAGAGAGAGAGAGAGAGAGAGAGAGAGAGAGAGAGAGAGAGAGAGGGAGAGAGAGAGAGAGAGAGAGTGGGTGGCTTAGAAGCAGCACAGCGGATGTGCAATGAATGCAGTACGTACGCTTAGAGTAGAGGGCATGGATGTTCCAGGTAGTCGATGGAAACGGACACGGGAATGTAGTTCGATTTCTTTCACCGTTACAAGAAGTAACGACACACGAACGGCAACTGCATCCGAACCTCTCCCGTCTCCTTCATGTTGCTGAATTTGTTTTGTTGTTAACTCTCTCAAAAACTAAACAATTTCATCTCCACACTGTATCCATCAGAGTCCAGGACAGTTAGCATCTTTTTCATCGTAGTGTTTTCGTTTGTTCTACGGGACTTTTTTTGTTCGTCTCTGTTACAGTGTTGAAACGTTTTTCTGTGTTCGTTTTTTCTCTTGTGTTGGCAAGGAGTTACTATTTTTTTACTGTCGTTCTTTTTTTTTTTTGCTTGGCAGGAGGAGGGCCGTTGGTAGCGGCGTGTCCTCTACCTCCTCGGCCGGTGGCGGCGGATCAGTCAAGCGGCGAGGGAGGGTGGGCGGTAGGGTGAGCATGGCCAGCGTGCGGAGCAGGAGGAGCGTGGCCAGCGACCTCATGCCGGTTGCAGAGGAGGACGGGATGCAGCAGGTAGGCGCTGCCACCGCAACTTTTAACCCCTTTGGGTCTAGGCTGGACTGTCAGTTTTTTTTGTTTGCGCCAAAAAAAAATAATGAGAGCGAGAGCGAGCGGGAGAGAGAGAAGTGCAGAGAAATACACCAATGTACTTCTGCACACGCAACAGCTATCTCCACCTGTAGGCCATGAGAGAAGCCGGCGACAGGGTGGTGGCCACAGACAGGGTCGTACAAGGGTTGATGCGTGGTCGCGGTGCCGCCGGTAGGGCAGGTTAGGCTTGTAGACCTTGAAATGATCAGTCGACTAGCTGCCTCAACTAGTCTATTTTCGGTATATTGTAAATGATCAGTCCAGAGAGGGCTAAATGATCAGTGAAGACCCATAGCTGGTATTCTTCTGTACTTCTCTGTTCTCTGTCCCCCCCCCCGAAATGTGCCCTGCCAGCTCTCTAGAGCTCCTGTGTTTTTCAAACAACAAGCACATCCACCAGCACACACCTGTACCTCGTGGTTTCCTAGGTTCGGGCGAGGGTGGTATGTGTGGCGCTACGAGTGTGGATATGTTGCTGATTTGTTTTACTCGTCTACAGCAGTAGTAGTAGTGTTGTTGCAGCGTTCGTTGTAGCTGCTGACACAATGACTGCTGGATCTTGGGAACGATTTTCAAATTGTTGGGAACCACGATATCCTCGATATCTGGGCTTCGGCAGGGATTGCAATACCCCTCCCTTTTGCTGCCCTCTGCTCTTTGCAGCAGTGGCTTCCTACGTTCGGGCGAGTGTATGTGTGGTGCTGCGAAAGAACACATATGTATGTATGTATGTATGCACACACGCGTTCATTGACATGTGCATACGTTGAGAGATTCATGATTTGGCAGTGATTGGCCCCATTCCCATTCCCGAGACCTTGATATTACCCGCTGTCACTGAAGTCTCTTCATTGGTCAGCCGGTTAGCGCGGGTGCTAATAATCTAGACACACCTACCTATGGACTTGCCAATACACGGCGCGAAGGGCTGCAGGGCGGCAACTCCACGACTTGCCACTACACCAGCATTTGCAAATGATCAATCAATCATCAGTGAGAACGCCTGAAGACTCAAAAGGGTTAACATTTTGTGCGCGTGCTTCGTTTGTTCTTGTGATGCTGCTGCTGATCGATTAGATCACAACCCCCCCCCACCACCACCCCCAATTACTTTGATGAGATTCTTGCATAGGCTGGCTTTGCTCAACAAGTGTGAGCACTGGGAAAGTGTGGCGACCGATGTGTTGCGTGTCGTATTTTGTGGTAGGGGCTCGCTGAGGTTGGCCACGAGTTTGCTGCTGCTGCTGGAGCTTCCGCATCCTTGCCTACTGTTGTCCATGTTGCCATGGCTCCACGAACATACCCGCGATTCATTCCATTTCCGCAGGACGAACCGCTGCATGACAGCCGTAATTCCACATACAAACCCGCGATTCACTCCATTTCCGCAGGACGAACAGCTGGAAGACAACCCCGAGGGAGAGGAAGAGGAAGAAGACCGTGAAGACGATGCGATGGACATGGGCCAAGATGGGGAGGAAGGGGTGCAGGAGAAGGAGGGAAAAGAGGGCCACGGAAACGATGCGGGGGAGGAGGAGGAGGAGGAGGAAGAAGAAGAAGAGTCGCCGAACCTTTCTCGAGAGGTACGAGAGTTGGCGTTGCGATGTGTGTTTGCCATACGAGTTTTTGTGGCAGGACCGTGGTCGTCAACCGCGCTACATATAATACATGTAGTCGGCTGGCCGATGTAACACGTCAACTCGGGGCTCACTTGGGAGAGCCTCTGTGTTCTTATCGTTCTGTACGTGGTGGCTCAAGTTTTATCCCTTCTTTTTGTTTCTTAAGTGCTGTTTTCTCGTCGAAAAGAGGGCAACACACGGCCACCGGTGGCGACTAAAGACATAGTGGCTGCTGCTGCTAATTCGTCTGACGTTGCAATCCTGGTTTTCGTTGTTTTGCAAGCTTGCCACGCTGCCGTCGTTCCCGGATGCTTTTCGTTTCATGTTGCTTGTAGTCTCATGTCACCCTCTCACGTACCGTACGTACGTGGTCTATTTACGCAACTTACGCACGCATTGCCAAACGTCTCACTCTGGTACACACACACAATGCTGACCAACGCCCACCAACCTTTTATGGCGCTGCTGTTGTCGTTTCGAGAGAAGGTGAGAACCCCGAACAAGCTCAGGGATAGCGCGGCCGAGCGGCTGCGGGCGAGCCAGCTGGAGGAGGAGGAGGAGGAGGAGGAAGACGACTTGCTTAACGAGGACAGGGCTCTCAACCCGTCGGTGGCGGCACCTCGAGCTGCTGCTGCTGCCGCCGCGACCAAGGTGCGGTTTTGGCAGGCACATTTATATTCTGTTGTTTTCGTCCACGGGCTTGATTGGTTCAGGAAAACGCTCTCGCTCTCGCTCTTTCTCTTCCTACCCCCGCACCTTGGCAGTTAATGTAGTGTACTGTAGTGTCGATTGTCGATTTTCGTCTTGGCGCGTTTCGCTTGGTTGTTCTTGGCATCGGGAGACCACAGCCGATGGTATTGATCGCAGGCCATCGACGAAGCGTCTGCCGCTTTCGTCAGTCACAGCCGAGTGTTTTCTGCTTGTTTCGTTTTTTGCCGCGGTGGTTGTTTTTTGGGGTGTTGTCACGAGCAGCACACGACAAGATGATGATCCGTAGCTGTGTCAGTGTTCGCGTTTGGATAAGCATGACTTCTCCTAGGCTGCTTCCAAAGCGTTGGGGGTGCGGAACGGAGGGAGGCTAGAGAATAACGGTATGTAGAGTTCCTGTCTCAAGATTTCCGAGCCAGAGAAAGTATTTCCCCCCCTCGCTCTAATCCCATGCTCGCTCTGGGCTCCCTTGATACTTTCCGTATCTCACTTTCGAGTTGCACACTTGACACTCGCGCTTTTCGCCTCTCGCTCCCATTCACCCCACCCCCGAGTATTTTATCGATTTCTTCTTTCCACCGCCCCGTTTTTTTTTTTTTTTTCGCTCGTGTGTATCCGGCTCTTTTCAGACAAGCTCCAACAAGCGCAAGAGGCGCGGGGCGGCCTAGACTATGGTCTTGGCTAGCAGACAAGCCGCTCGGACAAAGTCCCCCTCCACTTTTGTACTCTAGCCGCGATATTCCCCCCGAGGTAGGCGCCCCGGTGCGCAGTGACCAGCCCCTTGGAAAGTTTAGGCGGTCTTACAGCATCACTGTCGCGGCTGCACCACCTGCCTGTTTTACTGGAGACAATCGGGCGGGGGGAGGGGGGTTGCGCACAATGCATTGTTTTTCGATTCGAGAGAGGCGAGTGCGAAGCAGCAAGGAGGTGTTTGCCAAACTCCCGGCAGATAGGTCTACTCGGGAGTCTAAGGGAGGTAGCAACCCATGGTGGAGCGTATGTGAGAAGCCGGACGTCGGTGTACGCTCCATCCCGGCGTGTGAGCAGGATCTGGTCGCTCGGTAGCAGGAGGCGCGCCTGTCACCTGGGTTGCAAACCAGGAATGAATGAATGTATTTCCCGAAGAGCGCCCTGCCGTTTCGCCTCCTGCGTATCGATCGTATTTTCAGTAGCTAGCCCGTCGTCAACAGGCGTTTCGTCTCTCGCCCGCAACGGTTGCGATCACCCCCCCCCTCTTGGGGTGGTCTAAACTACACCGTTTGTGCTACGTCCAAATGGTGTTGGTCGTTGGGATGTGTGAGGGCGCACGGTATTATGTGTGTGGCGCAGGAATTGTGATCATGGCGATTGCAATTGCTGGGGAGAGGAAAGGCATGTGCGTGCTCTGCTGTGCATGGGGTAGAATTTTGGTTCGGGGTCGAGGCCCTTCCTCGATCAGGAAACGTTTTCCAGAGGCACGGGGGCTGTTGCTTTCTGTACGGCGGTACGCGTGTCGGAGAGAGAGAGGGAGAGAGAGAGGAAATCGCGGCTGCGGATGTGTTGAAGAGAAAGTAGGATGTTACCGTTGGTCTTGCGCCATCCACTATCATTCACTGTTTTTGTTACTGTCAGTTGTTGGCGTTCCTGGGAATTCGATACGTCACGGCACCTTCTCAAGCGTTTCGGTCGGAGATGATGATGTCTCTTGTGTCTTGGTCGGTGCTCCTAGTCGTAGGAGAACCGTCGAGCCCTATTTAGCCAGCACCTCTCACTCTGTCGTTATCGATCCGGGACCACATCTGATTTTATGTCATGTGGCATATGTTCAAGCGCAGCCTCTCGTGTTGACCGCTAGCACGGCCTCATCATCGTTGTTGTTGTCGTTGTAGATGTCGTTGTTGTTGCACTGTACCGGTCGGGGGAAAGGGCGGGGCCATGATGCGGATACGAGGGAGCAGATGATGTTGCTCGCATGCATATGGCGCTATCGACGTCTGTGTTTTTGGTGGGTCAAAGCCATCGTCGCAGCCCACCGCACCAAAGAAGAGGAGCAGAAAGCGGGGAAGCCTTTTACGGAAACTCGGCTGCTGGACCCATCCCGTGTGTAGTAGGTGGACGCTCTGTATGCTGTTGAGTCCACGGTGGTTGATGGGAATTTCAGGTCGTTCCTGTATATTACCACGTTTGTATGCATGCTGCTGTCTTGGTTCGACTGAAAGGGGTTTTGATAAGCTGAGAGCTGCGAGAACGGGCGTGGCAAGGTAGGCAGGGTTTCGGAAGCGTCACAGAACGCACGGCAGATGTGTATCACGCAAGGTTTCGGAAGTGTCACAGAACTCAAAGCAGAGGTACAGACTCTCTGGAATATTGTACGGTCGTACGGAAGGGACCCGGCGGGAGATGGGAAGAAGCTCCGTTTTTTGGTTGAGGCTCCATATATTTTGTGTCACCACCGCCGAATAGGATTTTGTACTTGAAGTAGAGTTTAGTGTACATCCTCGGCGGAGAAGGCTGTGTTTCTTGGCCCACTGCTGTTTGCATTTTTCTTTTTTTTCAGTCGGCCCGCAATGAATGCTGTCGTACCATGAGTTGTATTTTTGTGAGATTCTTAGCTTTTCAGCGAACCGAAGGCTCTCCGGAGCGGGCAAAAGCTCTGTTTTTGATGCATGCAGACTGATGGCGTGGCACTTCCACCACCGCCTGAGGAGCAGAAAGGGGTCAAACCTGGCGGTTATCTTCTTCCGTCACGCTTTAGTTGTTTCCTTTAGCTTGCTCTCGCCGACTTGCACTATCTTGTCACCGCCGTCGTGTCTGTTCCGTGCGTGGGGCTATCCGTTGAACCACAGTAGTAGCAAAGTGTTTTAGTTAGCCAGCCGCTGACTATTTCGGTTAATCAAGGCACACATACACCGCCTTGATGCCTACTAGAAGTATATCATAGGGAGTTGCAGCTCCCGCCGTAGCCTGAATAATTTTCATTGAAAGGCCGTTCAGATCCGTACCAATCCCGTAACACTCACCACCGAAGCCCCGCCACCCGTTTTTATCATTGACGGTTACAAGTTATTACATGCCGCTGTCGTCGCACGGTAGAGGAGATAGCAAGCAGTGCGTCTGTCTCGATTCACACCCCGGTACATCGAGCTTCAATTTCTTCATATTCCTATGCGGGCGCACTGCAGTAATGACACGTGCTTCCTCTCGTGTTATTACCTCCCAGATATTCGATGTCCGAGAACTTCCTTCCTGAAATACATATCGCTTTTCATACGCACGCGTACCATGCACACAGTAGAGCCAATCTCTCCCTCTCTTAATACCTCCCTGACACTCGATACAGCATCTCGATATCCCAAACCTACTTATTAGCATAAACACTGCTAGTTTACACTCTAGACTGCCAAAACAGGGGAGGAAATAAAATAGGAAAGGCGTTAAAACCAAACGCCAGCATATACACCCATCACTTCCAACATGACACAAATAACGACGGAACCAACACAAAGAAAACCACCCGCACGCACGCACGCACGGAAATGGAAACCATAATACGGGATGCGGGACAACACTTTACCATGGTTGGGGCATGGTGCAATATTGGTACCTTGTACTGATAAACGTATCTTGTCATACACGTATGATATCATACCACCTTCTACAGGTGTGAGGTGCGCGCTATTGTGGCTCACAAACCTGAAACCCGTGCGTCCGCAAGATGCTATCTACCTTTGCTTGGAGTCCGGACCAATATTTTCTGGACTATTCCCCTATCGGTGGACTTCCACCCCGTCCAATAATAACGCGCAACGCATGAACACAAACCAGAAAGTGTCAAGAGTTGTAGTTCGCTTCCCCTCCACATGCACAAAGTAAAGTTCAAACACGGAAGCTATCACCCTCCCCCCCCCGCTGTACACTACAATAGCGGTTAATGTAGGCGACTTAGCGAACAACGGGGGGGATCGTGGCACCAACAAGGACGAAGAAACCATGTGCGAAACAAACCAAATATTGATATTCCCATTCTAATCTACTCTGCGCACGGCGAAATAAGCACACGTGGCTACCTTGTCTTGCGGGGAAAACGGAGGATGCGTTATTTTTTCCCCAAAAGAGAGAAAAAGAAAAAAAGGGGGGCCGTCTTTCATTTTCACCTAGGGCAGAAAAAAATCCCTTGCCACTCTCTTCGGAAAGGAAATATAAAAACCATTCGGATACCAATGTGATTGTCCCAATGGCAGGTATTTCTCCGCACGAATTGGTACAAAGTGCAACAAACCGAGACGACAAATCGAAAAAAGTCTGCTACAGGCCCGCCGAGCCCAAGATGGACTTGGCGAGGTCCACCCCGAAGAAACATGCAGCGTTGGCGGGAAAGGCCCTTAGCATGGCCGGGGCGACTCCCCTGTACAGGGCCGCCGCCCCCTCCTCCCTCAGCAGGGTCCTGAATACCGGCGGCACGGACAGATGGTTTGGGTTGTTGAGCAAGAGGCACGGCAAAGTGGCGAAGCGAATAGGTAGGCCACCCAACGGTTTGCGGAAAAGGCACCGCCTACAACCACCTATCAGATTGACGCGAAGGCCGTGACACCAACGAAGTTACGAAGGCCGACGAAAAAAAATTATCCTGTTTTTTATCATTTGCATGCGTTGGCCGCGGCTGAAATGTCTGAGGTTTTTCATGTCGGCCAATCAACAGACAAGAGAACTCCGTGGACAAACGTAAAAAACGCCACCAAAACTGCAACGATGTTCTCGTGACAAAGTAACCAATGGGATTGCTGCAATTTGAGCGACTCTTCTTCTGCACTGTTTCTTCTGAGTCCGACGAGAGAGTTCGCAGAACGTGTCTGCGAGGAAGGAATCAGCCAATAGGAAGAAGGCAAGCGCCGCCGTCCAAGTCAACCAATCAGGAGACCACCCATGAAAATCAACGCCATGGCATGCATGCACTGTTCACCTTAGGACATCCCCGAGATTCGAATAGGTACCCTCCGCCGCTGTTTGCCAGCGAGACTTGATCACATCAGGCGGGATAGCGACTGCCCATGTCGCCATGCCTGCAGAGGATAAGAAAGGAGCAAGGCGAGGGAAGATCGGCGGGTAGAAAAAACTACAGGAGATGCCAACGTATAGTACGCAAACCGGTTTACACCCGTCCAACGCGTGACTTGGAGACGTCAAACCGAGTGAAATTTAAATTTCCTCCGCCGCCGCCTGCACTTTCGCGACCAAAAAAAAAAAAAAAAAGAAGCGAGAGAGGGGCACTACCAAAACCAGAAGCGAGCGACACATGACCCGAAAACGAAAGCGAAAAACAAAAACAGAAACCATGGCATCAATGCAGCCGGTCTCCAGACCGCAAACGCGCGCTTGGGAGCACTCCCATTGGGCCATAATGCTAACTGCCGGGAGTTACGTCACCGAAAATACCCCGCCCCTCATTCCCCTAAAACTGTACCTGCGAACCCCCCGGCGGACAAAATCCCCGCGCTGGATACCGTGCCGTCCTCCGCAGCGAAGGCCTCTTTCAGAAACTCGTACACTCCGAAGTACGCCACCGACCTTGATAAAAAAGAAAAAATGTAAGGCGGGGATTGGATTTTGTTAGCAGCAGTAGAAACAACGAGTACGCGTCCCCACAGGACGAAACTCGCTCCGCAAAGAGCAGGGTTGTTTTCGCATATTTTGAAGGTGCTTTAACAAAACAAAAAGATAGGCCACCAAGAAGGGTTGAAGGCGCTAAATAACTCTGCTTCGGCTTTGTTTACCCAGGCACGTCGCGCATGAGCGTAACCTCCCAGCCCTTGAACACGCTCCCGATACCCCCCGTTGCGTGCAGCTTCCTGGCGCAATCGACCATGCCCAAATACTTCGGCTTGGCGCCTCTGGCAACCTGGTGTTTTGTTGTTTGGCGATGGCAAGGCGGGACGAGCGATGGCACAGCGGGGATGCGGCGGGAGGGAAACACGACGCGGCGTTTCGTGTCCAACGAGGCGGTTTCAAGGTTAAAATGGCGACAATGGCGACAATGGCGACAACGACAATGGCGACAGCGATTTACGCTCATCACGATGACCACAACGAAGACTACAAGCACAACAACAAAACAACAACTGCACCAACAATAGACACCAATATGACAACAAACAATACCCACTATAATAATAGCAGCACCAACCACAGCAGTAAACAAAAACAACCACACCACTACCACCACCAACACCAACAGACACCCAACGCCATGGATTACCCACGGTGAGCCCACAGCATGCGACTACAACATGCGGACTCCAAGACCTACCTCCTCCCCCTGAATCTGCAGGAGACACTTGATCCGCTCGACGGGCGCCATGAGCGCTGTCGCCGGCAGGGCGCTGAACGCCCCAGCCAACATCTTTTCTCCCAAGCTCATCTTGGCGTCGGCATCTTTCCCCTTCGCAGCTCTATTCGTCGGAAAAAAACAAAAAGAGAGATATCATGAGCTATTAATAGCTGACACGGAACGAAAGAGAAGCATTTCTCAAAGTTATTATTTCGCTCAACGCACCGAGACCGAACAAGTTCAGAGGAATTCTTCGAGGTTAATTTTCGCTCGACACCCTGCGAACGAACGGGAAAAAAAGAGGGTTACTTTTCAACGTTATTTTTCGCTTTTAAGGTGTGCCAACACACGCTCGGGAAGCCGTTGTTGGGATTCCGCCGAGTGTTCCGCGAGTATTCCGCTAGTGTTCCGCGAGCGCTGCTGCCGCACGGTTCGGTCGACTCGACGCCCTCGTCGTCGTCACCATCTCTAGCACCTCGTCGTTGTCACCATCTCTAGCACGAGGAGGCCGCCCACAAAGCACACAAGGCAGCGAGCGGTGCGCCGAGGACGGACGAAGCGGCGAACACTGAAACAAGACGGGGGGCACCGCTAAGCTTCGACACCTGCCGCAGAATTCCTTTCGGCGTTACGGCCCCAGCTTAGCCCGCCGACCCTCCAATTCAAAAATCACCGGCGTTCACAAGCACAACACCTACAGAGACCACACGGAACGACGGCCAATAAAATGGAGCGGCGGCCCTCTGACCCGCGACACCGACCGCGGGCGGCGGGGGAACATGAGGTATATATCAAAAGGGAGACTGTCTTACCTGCACAGCTTGAGCCCCATGTCGTATCCCCAGAAGCATGTGGCAAAGATAGGAGACACGCCCACCAGAGGAGCGGAAACGCCGCGATAGAAACCCCTCGGCTGCACGAAACAGCAGTAGTATGTGTGTGCCGAATGGAGGAGAAACGTTCGGGCGGAGGGGGGGGGGGCAGGAACACATGGATAGGAAGAGAGAGAGAGAGAGAAAGAGAGGGGGAGAGACGGAGGGAGAGACAGACAGAGAGACAGACAGAGAGAGAGAGACAAGGTTTTGCAGAATAAGTATCACTTCTGCTGCACGTGAGCGACCAAATAAATAAACCCGGGTGCCATCGTCCCCACCCTCGACACCATCGTCCCGGTCGAACTTTGGTTCTTCTCTTGTCTTCTCCATTGATTCGACCGACTGCACTACACCTCCAACCAGTCTACGAGCCAGCGGGGTTACCTCCTTGTAACGGGCGGCGTTTCGACCCGCACAGCTACCCGCTGCGACACTGCACTCTCTGCCACTTTCAGCTTCGCAACGGGATCCTCACAAATCACATCTGGGGTCATCAACAGCAATGAGACTGTGCCACCAGCAAGCATCCAAGGCGGACTACACGATCTTACTTCTCCAACTGCCCCTAAGGGCACACACCTGGGCATTTCTCCCTTAGCTGCGCAACGAACTGCACTGCTGTGTAATCGAGAGGAACATGCAATTATTTTTTTCTCTCCGTCTACCCCGCTGTCGTTTGTTGCGCCCCCTCCCCCCCAAAAAAACAAAAGCACAGCAGCGCCCGACAGGCCCTTGGTCAGTCCACTCACCCCCTCTGCCTGGAGGGTCTTAGCCGCGGCGTCGGCTACCCCCTTGTACTGGCCCCCGGTCTGGAGCTTAACCTTGAGGAGGTCGAGGGGGTGACCAACAATCACCAGGCACATGCCTGTACAAAAAATGCGGTCGGGAAAGGGGGGAGGAGGGGGTACTCATGTAAACGCATGCCGCAGTTGTTAGACCATTGACCACGGGCCCCCTCCACAGGACCGAGCATATTTCCCACAGGACTGACTAATCACCCTTAGCCAATCGTCCCTTCCTACTTTCCCAAAGGTGGGTCAAACATGGGGGGAGGAGGAAACAAAGAGGAAAGAGGCGAAAAAAAAACATATCGCTCTTGGCGATAGCGCACGTAACGCACTCTTTTTCAAGGCCTTGAGAGATGGACTCCAAGGGGGTACGCAAGCAGGCATCAAGGCACGTTTTTTTGCCTGGGGACGACGGGGTACTGTTTGTAGGAGGGCGAGGAACTCACACGTGATGCTGCTGCTACAAAGAGGATCGACGGTACTAACCGTGCTGGTGCTTTAAGCACGAGTATGTCTTACACCTCGCGTGGGGGGGGAACACGCTACTAGGAGGGGGGCAGTATGGAAAAATTGTAAACTTATCAGCATTTGTTTTTTAAAAGAAGCCTCTGCTGCTCACGGGACAGCATTCCACGCGCTCCTACAGCTCTGAAAGACGAGTGCTCTTGTGCCCTCGCACCTAACTTCCATCCGTGCTCGTTTATTAAGGTTTCCTCCGTGTCAGAACCCAGCAGAGGCCGGATACTTTTGCGGGTCATTTCCGGTATTATTTTGATCTCTCAGGGTAAGGACTTCACGTCCCCCGAGGCACACAGCATGCCCGGGTCATTTGGCCTAGTGTGAACCGAGCCTTTACCGGTTCCGCCCTGGCGCTCGTACACAACGACTAGCCCCCTCCTACAACACAGCTCTTGCCAGTTTTCACCTACTGTATCTCGACACAGACGTGCCGTCATTGTGGAACGCCTTTTTAACAGCCCCCCCCCCCCACTGCTTGGTGATGTGAGAGCCTGGTCCGGTGAGAACCCGGCGTGCTCCGTCCCGGCTTTGTAAGGGTGCGAGGTCAATGGTCTAACGACTACGGCATGCTCGACTATGAGTACGCCCCTCCCCTCCCCCCCTGCTGCCGTCCTTCCAAAGCCTTCATCTTTCTACTGTACCCCCATGGGAAATGCTTGTGTCACAAGATTGCCAGGGTTCGTGCGTGTTGGTGCAGTCGAAGCTAATGTCTCGTCTGCTGGTTCCTTGGCTTGGGGCACTGAGATTACTGTCATGCCAATCGGCACCTGGATCTACAGTGCATTTACGCCCTGACTACATATCTCCCCCCCTCTTCTCGTCTGCCTCTCTCTCTCTCTCTCTCTCTCTCTCTCTCTCTCTCTCTCTCTCTCTCTCTCTCTCTCTCTCTCGCTCTTCTTTCTCTGTATGTCTGTATGTCTGTCTCTGTATGTCTATTTGATGCAATATACGAGCGGGGGGGCGCGGGGGGGATCAGCAACGATGCACACGGTAAGAAGAGGTGGGGGGGTGGATACCTACTACAGGTTTCGTGCACGTGTGATACACACCCCGAGCCATGAAAGGCAGTCGGTCAGAACCGTCGCTCTTACCCTTACCTCCAAACCCGCCGGCCAAGAAGTTGGCGAACCCGGACAGTTCTGTCGTCGGATCGACCAACGTTTCGGAACATTGCGTTGGGTTCCCCAGCACCAAAGTCATATTACACCACATCAACAGCGGTAGCAGCAGCAGCAGCAGCAGCAGGACGAGGCAGCGCCAGTACACGCACCAGAAGCCGCGGGTAAAACAGGAAGAATAGCGCGCAGAATGTCATCAGAGCGCACCAAGCACGCGTGCAACCGTGGAAATATCACACAAGAAGGAGGGGGCAGTCCGAATACCACATACCTACAGAACGGGCCCGGAGATGACAAGGGTCAAAATCGAGTCGAGCCTCAATTTGCATAGGAAGTAAGAACCCAGCCTCGGCCCAACCTAGAGGTTCCTACATAAGTGCGGGCGCTAACAGCTGTACGGCCCAGGCTTGGAGTCTTGTCGTCGTGCAATGGCGGCATTTTGAAAACTTGGCGGTACGGCTGTAAGCTGTGTGGTACACAACAGAGGTACACGCCGCTAATACATGTAAATTTACGCCGCTAATTTTGCAAGTTCGGTGGACCTTTCCATGGTTGTGATCGGTATCAAGCCATGGTCGGTATCAAATCCGGAGACAGCCGATGGAAGCAGCTGCAGTGGCTGGTGCTCCTCCCGCTACTGAAACCTACTGCACTACAAGTACCATCGCGAGCTGTAACACCATCAGACTCACATGCGCTCTGAGCATAGACATGTCAACTGCATCACCCCCGACCAATTCGGCACGATGGACAAGAAACCCCCCAATGGTCGCGTCGTCCACACAGCTACAGTGGTAAATCACTCTATTCGTCTTTCTTATTCGGATGTTACTAGAGCGTTGCACTCGTCAAACGGCGCTCTACACTCTACAGCTGTTGCTTCGGCATATTCAAGTGGTACTCAAATTCAGGGGCGGGGATTCGGAGACCATCAGTACGAAGTCGCGACACCATATTTTTCGGTCTATCTCGATGTACAATTAGCAGAAAAAATGGTGCATATATATTGAGCAGATGAGGAATAGATAACAACCATGAAACGTAGACGACGTTAGCACTGGGAACAGCTGGCCTGCTGGTATGACAGCAGTGACCAGGCAGACTTTGCTCTCTGCATGGTCGCCCTCGAATGCCGTGTAAACATCCAATCTAAATGTAGACTATGTCTTCCTTTCCTTGCCTCTCTTGGGTGTCTCTTCCGTCATGCTGGCCCTTCTCTCCACGTCGAGATGCTGCCGTGAGCACTTAGTGGACTCCCTGCTTCCGATGTACCTCTCACTTCTCTCTTTCTTTCTCTCTCGCTCCCTCCTGTTCCCCTCCTCTGGCTTCTGCCTTTCTATGCCTCTCTCCTTTTCCACGCGCCAAAGTGCCTAGGTCGAGAGTCGAGAGATTTGTTCGTCAACACGGCTGGTTCGCCGTGGGGCGTGTGGTGCCGATTCGGCACAATCCAAAGTGACAACCCACCGCTCGTGGCTCGTGGGGGGAGCCATGGGGCAGGTGTCAACAAACATCATCTACAGCAGTAGATTGATTGTTAGATTACAATCCCATATAGACCGGGGGGGGGGAATCCAAGACAGCCGCTGACTGCGTAGGTCAGGGGTACACTGCCCACTCAACACAGAAATCGCGTTCACCACAGTAACAAGGAGGCCAAACATGCACGTGGAGAGTCACGATGCATAGTCTTATGCATACAAATCTACAGCCTGCGTCTTGGGTACCAGTTGTAAGTATGGATATCATGTGCCGTTGCACCCCATTCGTCCTGTTTCTCGAGACAAAACGCAACAAGAGACGACTGTATCATGAATGTGGAGCCTCAAAGTAAGGGTTCTCTGTCGCTGCTGTTGTTGCTGTTCAACACATGAAACAAACGTGATGGATCTACACTGTTGTTGTTGTTGTTGTTGTAGGGTTGGCACGGGCGGTGCCGTTGGCGTTGCAGGATACTGCGGGTCTGTGCCCGTAGTGCTGGTCGTCTCGCCGCGTTGTTCCCCTGAGCGATGTACGCCTTGTACATGGGGGGTATGGTCCACTCGGATGGCCCCCTCGTCCCCACTTGTGGTTGGAGCTGGCGCTTTGTGTTCTCGGCGGCGCCATCAGCACGGATGGTTCAGCGTTGTCGCCGGTACCGAGTCATCTCGTCCGAACTTCGTGGATGTCCCTCCGTGGGCCGTCCATGGACGCGTCTATGGACCGCCGTCCGTGGAAGTCTGTGGACATTTCGGTGGACGTCCACGGACAACGTCCACGGACAACATCCACGGGCGTCTTTCCAGGTGTCCATGGACGTCCGTCCGCGGACACGTCCACAGACGTAACAATGAATGAATGTCAAATGCTTTATGCATCAGTGGTATCGAGTCGGCTCGTCGTCGCTCTCATCGCGTTTCCTTTGTTTCATTGAGTCAGATGTGATTTTTGGGCGTCATAACAATACTGGGAGCCTTAGTCTTCAACAGGGAGGAGAAAAAACGCTCGATGCGCCCAATGACGAGCGAGCCCTGTAGTTTAGGAGCGGAACTCCATCGTTGGTCAGTCAGGTGGTTAACTGACCACTGGCGAAGAGGATATAGTACTGCTGCTGCAGTCTACATGTAGACTGACTTACAAGTTGCTCCCCATTTTTGGTGCAATGGGTTCCGAGAAATAAAATTAACTGCCAACCAACCGAGGCTGAGCACTATAATGTATTCAGAGAGGCTACATACGGCGTGGGGCACGAAATCGTGGGACAACAGAACTTCCAACTGTTTGCAGCAGCATGGGTAATTTAACTATCTTAGACACGTACTTATTACATACAAAATACGCTTGTTGTGTTTTAAAAGAATGTATCCGCCCTCCTCCCGCTTGCTCTTGGTTTGTTTGTGTACGTGTGTGTGCACCGCTTTTAGCTGGCTCTGTACCACCACCCTGGTCTCCGAAAACAACACAACAACTAACAACTGCTCGTTTCCAGATATATATATATTATACAGCATGGTTCTCTACGACAACTCGATATTCTCAACAAAAAATCCCGGAGAGATTCAACTCATGAATGACTTCGCCAGACGGCATGCGGCGTGTTTCCGCCATTGACCTCGAGGATTTTCTGTCCGTGTGGACCCGCTTGAAAGAGCGGGGCGACGCCGTCAACCCTCCCGGGTTCCTGTCCGTGGCCATGAACGCGCGTGGCAAGTCCATGTGGGGCCCGCCAACGGCTACTACTACTCTGTCTGTCTGTCTTGTTGTTCTGTTATCGTCTCTCGCCCGTTATACTTCACTGACTGCTGCTGTTGTTGCAATCCGCTCACTCGCCTCTCGACCACACCACCAGTCAGTCAGTTAGTGCTCTTTGCTGCTCTGTGGCGCTTGTCATTTGTGGGTGGCCGGAACATTTGCAGCTGCCGACCGTGCGTGGTGGCTGCACACTTCACGTATGGCACCGCCTCCTGGACTACATGTATGTATGTACAGCTGCCACCCGAAGAATGAATGTGATAGACAGTATAGCTAAATAACTGCCACCTCCTTCCCTGCTTGCTTGGTGGTTGCACGCGTATTAGAATAATAATGCTGACTGCCGATCGCGAGTTGGGAGGCAGATGCTCATCATCATTCGTTCGTGTAGAGCTGCCAACTACTGCTGCTGGGGGCTGCACACACACCACGCACGTGTCACGTGGTACCACGTGGCTAAAGTTTGGCATATAGATAGATGGTTGGTGGGCTTTGGTTGGCGAGTTGGGAGGCAGATGCTCATCATCTCGTTCGTGTAGAGCTGCCAACTGCTGGGGGCTGCACACCCACACGTGCCACTCACGTGATATCGCGTGGCTACAGTTTGACATGGATGGATGGTTGGTTGGTTGGTTGGTTGGATGGATGGATGGGTGTAGCTGCCATCCCTTGGCGGGGGCTGTGTTCGAGAGCCTGCGAACATTGGTGTTGGATACGCGTGCTGTATGATTTGGTGTCACGCAGATTGGTAAGATTGCCGTTTGGTAGGGGGCACCGTGATGAGGCACGGGCCCCCTCCTTGCTGTTGGAGCGTTGGAGCTGCTCTGTGTAGAGCACTCCCTCTTTCGTCCGTGTGAAGGACGGTCGCCTACCTCTCGTGAAGTTAATACATCACCGAAACAGTCTCACTCGATAAATAAGTGGCGTAGGCCGTAAACACTCTAGAGTTTTGCCCCTCGAGGGAAGCCACATCGGGATGAGCTCTACCGGAGACGAGGTGCCCACTGCTGCGAGCGGAGAACAGATCCGCCCGCCGGTGGAGGAAGGCCGCGATGCAGAGCTTGCAAGTTTGCAACTGCAGATTTCGCAATTGGCGGCCCTGGTGGAGGAGTCGATCAAGAAGAAGGAGCCTGGCAGCGTCGTGGCGGATGCAGCCAGTAGTGGCGGCTGGGTTGCCGCCACCGGAGGCCAAGATCAGCCCCTGTAGCCGCACAGCGGAGGCGGGGGATTCTCCAGCAGCAAGCGAGAGATGGTGGGCAAGGACCACGGCCGCTGCTGGAAGGCCGCTGGGCCAGCAGATCGGGAGCGAACCCTGCGAGACCAGCCGGAGTGGGCCCGGGCATAGGACCGGGCTACGGGGAAGCGAGGGGGTTAAACCCCCCAGGTGAGATACCCGTGATTCGAGGAAATGGAGAATACCTCGACGGCTACAGCAGTAGCCACCAGAAAAGAGTGACGGTCAATGCCCCGCTTCTAGACGGAAAAAGCCGTAGCCACGGATTTGATTCGTGGCGAAGTTCGTTCATCCAAGCTGCGAAGACCATCGACTTGGACGGGCAGTTAATAGGGGATGCAGAGAGCAGTATCCCCGTGGGCGACCCAAACTTGCCGACCTCCGAACTGCTCCGTAGGGGGCACACGAGAGCAGAAGTCCAACGAGGGCTTCAGGCGTTCCACTTTATCACTACTGCTGTGGTAAAAGAAGCTGACAAAGCAATCATCAGTAACTGTACGTCAGCGAAAGAGGTCCTCGCGGAACTGGAAAAGGTCTACGATCCAGAGTCACAGGGGTCATAACAGGCCTTGATGCGGAAGATGTTCGACTTTGCAATCCCCACACACAGCAACAGCAACAGCAACCCCATCGAGCACCTCTACTCACTCGAGCTGCTGTATGCCCGCCTGCGCGAAAAGGGGCTCAATGCTGAACAACCCTTCGTTCTCGCCCACTTCGTTGGTTCCCTCCCACCCGAGTACCAACAAGCGATGTTCCTGTTGGAGACAGCGACGGCGCTGGATAGAGCCGAGATCGTCAGGATCGTGAGCACGGTGCACGCGAGCCTCCCGGAGGGGAGGAAGGCCCTGAAGGGCCAGCGTAGGGCGGAGCATGCTCTCCTCGCGAGCGATGGTAGCGGCGGGGGAGGAGCGCCGGGCCGCGGCAATAGCGGCCGCCGCAAGGGCGGCGGCGGCGGTGGCGGCGGCGGCAACCAGAAGGGGAGAGGGGGCGGCGCGAAGGCTGGTGGCGGCGGCGGAGGCGGCGACGACGATGCGGGTAGCATGCGCGGTCGCTGTTTCCGGTGCGGCAAGAAGGGCCACCAGGTGGCCAACTGCCCCGAGAGCAAGCCCGTGCGATGTGAGACATGCAAGGGCTACGGGCACGATAAGAGCAAGTGTCCGACCGAGGAGGCGGTGCTCGTTGTGGAAGTGCCGGCGGGGGGGGTGTCTGCAGACGTCACAGCACTGGACGTGGCAGAAGAGGCGCTGGTGGTCGGTGACATCTCAGGCGAGTGTCACAAAGTCGTTGGTCGAGGGGGTGTAGAGCAGGCTAGGCGGGGGAGGTATGTTGCCGATACCGGCGCTAACACCCACATGTTCGCGAACTCAGATGGGTTCGTTCGTTACGAAGAGTGTGATCGACGTGTGCGCGTCGCCGCAGGAGAAACCTTCCCTATTGTAGGGTATGGCGACGTGACGGTAACCCTTAGCTCGCGCGACGGTACAACCGACCTGTTGTTGAAACGGGTTGCACACGTTCCCCGACTAGATTACAACCTAGTATCTCTCACTTCCCTCTTCGACGACGGGTTCGAAACCAAAACCCTCAATAAACACGAGTTGGAATTGGAGAGAGGGGGGGAGGAGTCAGTGTACTTCCCCCGATGCGGTAACCTGTACGTTCAGAACGGTTTCCGCAAACACTCCGATCAAGCCTATGCCGCAATTGCTCCTGGTAGCGCGAAAGCGCCCAACACCCCCGTTGACATCAACGACTTCCACTGCGCGCACGGCCACTCCCACGAGGTGCTGCTGAGGACCACAGCGAAGCAGCAGGGAACGACGCTGGTGGGCGAGCTCCGGGAGTGCCTGGGGTGCTCGACGGCGAAGGGGCTATCCAAGCCCATCCCCAACAAGACGTCGACCCGAGCATCGCTGCCTCCCATCGCAGAGGAGGAAGAGGAATTCGCGACTGAGGAGGACGAGGTTGGGGAGGGCGCGTCGAGCCAAGGTGGAGGGAGGGCGGAAGGAGAACCTGTGGATGGAGGACCATGTTTCAACCTTGGCACGACGGCAGCCCCGGGGCCGGCGGGGCCGACCGCGCGCGTAGCGCCGGCGGCGGCGCCGGCCGCGCCCCAGGAGTCGGGCGCAGGCGACGCTTGCGACGGCGCCCCCTCGAGCAGGGAGGGCGCGGGCGTCGCCCCATCTACCACGTCGGCCGGCATGGCCGATGTGGGCGGCGGCGAGGACGACCGCCGCAGCAGCAGCAGCCGCGGTAGCGGAGGCAGCGGTAGCGGCAGCGGCAGCGGCAGCGGTAGCGACAGCGGCATCAACAGCGGCAGCGGCAGTGATAGCGACAGCGACAGCGAGACGGATCTCCTGGCGCTCCGCGGGCCAGAGGCCCGGCGGCTCGCCCGCTTCGACAAGCCGGCGGAACTCACCAGCCGCCGCACCAGAGAGAACCCACGCAGAAACCCGAGGTACGAGTCGCCCCCGTCGCCGACAAGTGCCGAAGCCCTGCTTGCCTCGGTGGCGAGCCTGCCCGTCAGCAGCACGGAGGAGTTCACCCGCTGGGTGCTCTCGGCGGTACTCCACGTGGCGGAGGGGCTAGAGGCGAGGGTGGTGCGAGAGTTGCTGTTCGAGCGCGCCGAGGAGGCCCACGCTGCGCGCCAAGAAGCGGAGGACTTCCTGCTGGGTGCGGTGGACCTCATGCTCAACTCGCCTGACGCCTTCGAGACGGCTCTGGCGTCCCACGAGCTAAGTGAATCCCCCATAGGCAAGCGTCCGAGTGATGTAGAACCCCCCCCCATGACCGTAGCCGGCGTTGCCAAGTCTGTGTACAGAGAGGGGTGGGAACAGGCCATGAGGGAAGAGTTTGAAGGGCACTTGGGCACGGGGACGTTCTCATTCGTAGACGGCACGCCAGAGGGACGCAGGCCTGTGAGCTCAAAGTGGTGTTTTAGTTGGAAGACCAACAAGGAAGGGAAGATAGACAAGTTCAAAGCGCGTCTGGTTGCTAGGGGGTTTTCGCAAATCCCGAACGTCGATTATATCCATTCGTCTTCCCCTTGCCCCTCATCCGCATCCATTAAGCTGATGCTTGCGGTAGCAAACGAGAAGGGCATGAACCTCAATCATTGGGATGTGAAGCAGACGTACACACACGCCACGCTAGACGAGGAGGTTTTTCTGAGGCTCCCCGCGGGGTGCGGGGACAAATCGCATAAAATTGTTAAGGCTGAGCGTGCGATTTACGGTCTGAAGCAGAGCGGTAGGCAGTGGGGGTACCACGCTGCTGATACGCTAGTCGAGAACGGGTTCGAACAGTGCAAAGCGGACCCGTGTGTTTTCCGCAAGATGGTAGACGAAGTCGTGGTGATGATTATCGTGATCTATGTGGATGACATTTTGGTGGCTGGGTCTGACGAGGATTGTGAGGAGTTGCTTGCTTCTCTGAACAAGAAATTCCCCACCAAAAACCTTGGAGAGTGTGAATGGTTTGACGGGTGTGCCATCGAGAGAGATGTAGAGGCTGGGACTCTTAGAATCTCCCAAACCGCGTACATTGACAGCATGGTGAAACGCTTTGATGTGCAATCGACCTCCCACATCCCCGCTACCCCCGGTGCCGACCTAGGACCGGAGCGAGATGATGAGAAGGGAGGGGAGTGGCCGGTGAGGGAGGCCATCGGCAGCATGATGTGGGTGTCGACGTTCTCGCGTCCAGACGTATCGTTCGCCGTGCGTGCGGTAGCGCGCCACGCCCACGCCCCGGCGAAGAGGCACTGGGACGCGATACAGAAGATCCTCGGCTACCTAAAGCGGTCGAGGGACCTCGGCATCACCTACCAACGGGGATCGGGGTTAGGGCTGGCCGTGTACGTAGACGCTAGCTACGCCGACACGGAGGATAGGCGTTCGGTGTCAGGGTTAGCGGCAACGGTTGGAGGTACCGTAGTCAGCCATGGTAGCAAGACACAGAACATCGTGTCTTTGTCTTCGACGGAAGCCGAGTACATTGCTGCCGGGGAGGGCGTCAAGGAAGCGTTGTTGGTGCGTGCCGTGCTTTCGTTTGTTGCCCCAGAGACCAGTGGTAGCAGCATCCAGGTCCTTGAGGACAACCAGGGGGCCATAGCGTTGGTGCAGAACCCCCTCAGCTCAGGTCGCACGAAACACACACATCGACGTGAGGTTTCATTTTATCCGCGGATTGTTTAGGTCGGGGGATATTTCGGTCAAGTTCGTCCCGACAACGGAGCAACACGCGGACCTCCTAACCAAGGCCCTTAGCAGGCCAGTCTGCAGTACCACCGGCGCAAGTTGATGAATTTGCCGGAGAAGCCGTAGCTGTTTTTTAGCACTTGCATTGGATTTTCTAATAACTGCGGCCGTTGTGATCCGCTGTGATAGCGACGTTTTTTTTTTTGTGGTGGTAGGGTTTCTTTCGAGGGGTTTTGCCCGGACGCCGGGTTTCCCCTCCACATATTACCATGTTGGTATTCCTGATGTATCCAGGGGCGTTCTTGCCCCACTGATGGTTAGTCACTTGCGTGAAGAAGGAGGGTGTTCGAGAGTCTGCGAACATTGGTGTTGGACACACGTGCTGTATGATTTGGTGTCACGCAGATTGGTAAGATTGCCGTTTGGTAGGGGGCACCGTGATGAGTCACGGGGCCCCTCCTTGCTGTTGGAGTGTTGGAGCTGCTCTGTGTGGAGCACTCCCTCTTTCGTCCGTGTGAAGGACGGTCGCCTACCTCTCGTGAAGTTAATGCATCACCGAAACAGTCTCACTCGATAAATAAGTGGCGTAGGCCGCAAACAGGCTGTACATGTTGTATGTGTGCCACATCATCACTGACTGCCTCTCTCTATCGACAGACAGACATACAGACATGGTGGGTGCGTGTAGAGGCTGACTCGCTGGTGGCCGTTACACACACCCCGTGACATTACTGCCTTGAATTTTCGCGAGCCTCTTCTTGCTTTGCAAGCACCCCGAGTTGCTGCGATGGACGCGTCGAAAAGAAACAAACGCTTTTCAATCGCCTAACTAAAAGAAGGAAGTTGTGTGGAAAATGAAGGTGCCCATCAATAACCACTTGCATCTCTGCAAGGTCATGATTGGGCCGTCCGTGGGTGGATCGGAACGAACGGCGAAACACTGTGACAGGTGTCACCTGCTGCGCGTTGGTACGTCACTTTTTTTCTCATCTCTCGACCCTGGACGGACTTGTGGATGTCTGTCTGTTGCACGGAATCCTTCTCCAACGCAGGAACATGAGTTAGATCGGCTCTTCAGCGGGGGATGAAAGGTACAAACAACAAGGCCTGCACATCTCGTCCGTCCTTCCGTCGGCGACCTACCTGTCTTGTGCCCTTTTTTTTTGTGGTTTGCAACGCAAGAGAGCAGCTCGTTGACGAATATTCTGAACGAACGTGGTCGTCAAACGGTAAGAAGACCCCAAAGCTTTGTAGGGACACGAAAGGGGAGCTATTTTCGCGATCTGCGAGTTGCACGTTCGTTCATGAGTCGGATTTTGTTTAGGACTGAATGACTCATCACCGGTTCGAGAGTGCTGTGTTACGCCATCCTCTGGTTCGTGGTGTGGAGAGAGACACCCGGCCCTCCCCAGAGACATCGTAAGGCTTCACAAACACACACGTATATATATATACCCGAAGGCAGGTCATCCTGGGTTGAACAGGTTTAGACCCGGCTATAGCCTTGCTACACATTTGAGAACGCCGTGAATCATTATACACGGCTAGCTGTTGCACCAGCCACCAAGGAAGTGTCGTGTAAAAATAGCATACATTGCACTCACTCTCCGCCCCTCCCTAAAAAGCTGCGTCAAGGAAAAACAACAAAATAATGCCACGTTTTGAGTCGGACATATTTGTGTTTCACGTGTTGCAAGACGTGCACGCCCAAGATGGAGGAACAAGGAGAGGCCATCGAAACAAACGACTTTCGAGAGATTTCCTAACCCTAAAATACGCAAAACAAACAACTTCTTGACCCGACCCTCAGGAGGGCCAAATCGGTCGGTCGATGGCATACTACTACCTTACGCGGGGGCAAATAGAGTGCGCAAAGCATGATGGAAGCGTTCATGTTTACAGACGATGCACGTAAAGCAAGTGCGTGCGTGCATGAATCGCTGTACTAAAAACTACTACTTGAAACTGGGCACTTACACCAAAGATGGTTTCCACCGTTGCTCCGACAATCAAAATGTACGCGCATGAATATGGCGTACTATCGGATACAGCCCGACATCGACCAATCCCACCCATGGCCTTGACCTACTCGCAATCCCGCGCCCTCGTTCTCTTATCTGCATCCGCCCTCCTACCCACTACGGGTACAGGAACAAAAAAATAACAGTCTGGCACCGTCACCACGGTGTCTGTGATTTACGTACATACCCGTATGTAGGCGAAACGGAGTACGTACGCACGCATGTTCGCGCAGATCTATTGCGGAGAAGAGTCTGGCGGAGGGATTTGCTGTTATTGAACCCAGCAGTGGGGGCGCTAAACCTCCCCCTATCGGATCAGGAAAGATTGACTTCGCACTAAAAGATCAAACCAAAATACCGATCCTCACTGTTTTCCGAGGCCAAACCAAACCAAGCCAACACCCGAACCACAACCGCGCCTTCCTTTGCACAACCAGTTGGTATACTAACACATACCACAAAAAGAATCTCGCATTTGCTCCAAAGGAGGAAACAACAAGAAAAAGTACAAACTTACATGGTTCTTCAGGCCTGAAGAGGCCACTACCGCACACACAACCAAAACGATATGGTATAAAACAGGTCGTCAAAACACCATGAAACAAGTCGTCGAGATTTGGGGCTGTTGCTGCCAGGGTACTTCGGTATTCAAGACGACGGCAATGATGCGACATTCAACCCGGCAAGCACACAAACAAGCAGCTCTGACAAAATAGTATTACATGCTGTGCTGATGAGGTGAGGGAGCCAAAGCCTTGGATGCAGTCACCCTCTCCTCTACCTCGAGTCAATACGGCAACTAGGTAACATTTCTGTGACGGTTGAGTTAAATTACCCAGGAAAATATGGGCCTCTCCTACAATACTCCCCCCTTCCACCGTCGCGTTCAAACACGCTAGAAACACATACGAGGATCGGAACGCTCCGACCCTGTCCAAAGTACACCGCCGAAACACGTCCTACACTCCCTCAAACCCCTCATCCGTAAAAAAAAACAAAAAAACAAAATTTACGCGCCTAAAGTCGCTTTCTGGTCCTCTCTTACTCTTGAGTGACAAAAAAAAAACATGTTTTAATGTCCTCTTCGTTCTCGAGTGACAAACCGCCTAGCCCCTACGTGTGTGTGCCCCCGCCATCCCACACCCGCGGCCGTAGTCGTTTGCAGACTTGCCGCTGGACCGCTCCTCAGCGCCTGACCGTGTGAACGTAGTCAGTAAGCTTTCCAGAGCCGAACACCAGAATGTTCTTTAGTGGAACCACGCGCCGTCGTAGTCGTAGCTGAACGAGAACGACATGCCGTCTTCGACCATGAGGTCGATGAACCTCTGCAGAAACAGGAAAAATCGGGCGTCACAAAACGAGCGAGGACACAAGCAGTGGTAGGTAGGTCAGCAGACGGCCAGCTAACCACACTTCAAATTGTAGGTTCCGAGAGACGAGATTCGAACGTTTTCGTTAACCACGCCGGCGTAGTAAGACCATGCGGACGATAGTTAATTCTACTCCCTACGATACGGTAGGGAGGCGTTCGTACCGGCAGGTTGCCGGCCGGGGAGGCACCGCCCTCGCGGGTGCGGGCGCCGTCCATGCCAAACAAGTTGACCCAGTCGTCCTTCTCCTCGTCGTCAGGGCCCCAGGCTCCGGCGGGGCTACCCACGTCGATGTCTCCAGCAAGTTGCTCGTCTCCGGTGTGCTTGAGGGGCTTGGGGAGGACGAGGTTGCCCGCCGGCTTGTCTTCGGACCCTGCTTAGTCAGCACGCGGGGACAGCACGTGGCCATGGTAATCGAAGCGGAAGCAGGTGGTGAGGGGGGGGGGGTGTACTCATAGTCGTGCATGCCGTAGTCGTTTGACCATTGACCTCGCATCCCTACAAAGCCGGGACGGAGCACGCCGGGCTTTCACCGGACCAGGTGAGGGGGGGGGGGGGGGGGGGCACTTTAACTAATGGGTTTGGCCCCGGGATGGTTTAAAAAATCCCAAAAGAACCCCCCCCCCCAAGGGCCCCCCTTTTCCGAACCCCCCCCCCCCAACCATGTCCCTTCTTTGGGGGGGGGGGTTCCCCCAATCCTGCCCCCCCCAATCCTTTTACCCTTTACCCCCCCCCCCCCCAAAACCCGGGAGGAACCCCCCCGGTTTCCCCCCGACCCGGGTCTTAAAACCGGGGGCTTTACCCCCTGCCCCCAAACCCCCCCCCCCCAAAGGTCCCTGAAAAAAAAAACCCCCTTTCCCATTTTTTCCTTCCTTCCTTCCCAAATCCACCTTTTTTTTTGGAAGGGGAACCAACCATCCCCCCCCAAACCCCCCCAATTTTTAAAAACCTGCCGCCCAAAACAACAACAAAAAAAATTTTTCTTGGGGTTTGGGGGGCCCCCCCCCCAACCTTCCCCTTTTTGGGGAAAACTTGGCACCAAAGGCTTTAGTCCCTTCCCCCCCCCGAAGGGCCCAAAACCACTTAAACCCCCCAAAAATCCTGGGCCCCCCTTCCCAAAAAAAAAAACGAAGGGGTCCCAAAAAAAACCGGGACCGAATACCCGGGGGGGGGAATGGGGGGATTTGTTA